CCCTCTGCAGCCCCTCACCACAAAGCTCCCCTATCCTGCTCCCCCACTTTCACCATGCCAGGGTTTGGGGTGCAGTGKGGTTTGTCCGGGCTCTGCCAGCACAGGCACCAAAGCTCAGGAGTCCTCACTGCACAGCCTCACCCTGAGGGGTTGCCTCCTAATCAGGCACTGATCAATGATCAGTCAGGTTTCTCTGGACTCTCAGGATTTGCCCATGATCCTCACCAAGCCACTCGGGACAGTCCAGAGCAATCCCATCCTCGGGCTGTGAACAGCCAACACAAGGGAAGGGAATGAAACTCCCAAAGGACTGTTGTATCTTCTTCCTTCAGGATAAATCTATATCGCAGCACCAAACATCATTTTCTATGAGCAGATTCATCTAAATGTAGCTTTTGAGTAATCAAAACCACTTTTTTTTTTTTTTTTCAGCTGGAAATACCTAGAGGGGCACAGTTGGGTCAAGATGTTTTGCTCAGACATCCTTGACAAAGGAATCACCTCAGCTTCCAAGAGAATCATAAAACCACAGAATGGTTTGGGTTGGAAGGGCTCTTAAATATCTCCTCATTCCAATTCCCAGAAGAGAATGTTCCCATTTCAGCTTTCATCATTTCKATTAAAAGGGGCTAAAAATTGAAACATTCTGATCCAAAGCCAGGYGAACACCCCCAAGCCCACGGTGTTACGGGTGCCACCAACAATGCCACCATCAATGCCACCACCCCCCCAACCAGCCACGCTGCCAGCCAGGGGCTCCATGGCAAGGCTGGGGTGCTGCAGGCACCAGGATTAGGGCAGGGAGAGCCTGAAGGCAGCGAGTGGGAGCCACGGGCACCTCCCCTGCCCAGGCACAAGAGCTGCAGCCCCAGGGGTTGCTGCTGTCCCTTACCTGATGTCCCCCAGGACGGCGRCGGTGACCCCCAGGGCCAGCCCGTGGGCCAGGGCGGGCTGCAGCCGGCCAGTGCCCCCCGAGTCCTCCACCACGGACAGGCAGCCCGTGAAGATGAAGAGGGCAGTGCCCAGCAGCTCGGCCACGCAGGGCTGCACGTGGCGCTCGTACCAGTGCGGCTGCGAGGGCTTGGGCTTCACCTCGATGTCCATCACGTCCTGCACCGGGTGGAGACCACACCCAGCACCGGCCATGGGTGGCTGGAGCACGGCTGGAGCACGGCAGGGTCCRGGGAGCCACCCCACGGGCACCACAGGGGGATGCTGGAGGGCAGAGCCGGGATGGGCAGGAGCCAGGGCTCTCGGTGCACAAGGACCCCAGGAGGCTGCCAGGCTCCCCTGGACTGTTTGAAGAGGCAGCTTTGGATGGGAGGCTCTAAATACAGATTGGATTTGCACTGCTAAGAAAAAAAAAAGGGGCCATAAAAGCTGTTGGGCCAGCCCCCAGGGATATCAAAGCTCGTTATCACGAGCCTTGTTCAAGGCTTGGGGTTTTTCCTTGGATTTCTGTTGCTGTTCATGGTGTAGTTTTCAGGSGTTTTGCCATGATTCAGGATGTGGTTCCTGCCGTGCCAACAACCAGAGTGGGCACCTGTGCTCAGCCAGGGGACCCTGTGCCTGTTGGAGCTGCCAGGGGCAGCACCTGCCAGCAGGAATCTGGCATGRGGCAGGGGTCTGGCAGCACCCTGGGAAACAGCTGATACCCCTATCCCAGGCTGGGTCAGGTGGGAAGGCACCTCTAAGAACAGGGACACCCTCCACTATCCCAGGGTGCTCCAAGCCCCKTCCAGCCTGGCCTTGGGCAGCCTGTGCCAGGGCCTCCCCACCCTGTGAGTGAAACCCATCAGCCAAAGTTCCCCTAAACCTCAGTCCTCATCCTGCCCTGAGCTCCCAGAGCTGGGGGTTCATGTCCCTCTTGCACTGCTYTCAAATAAAGATGAGGGCCAAGGGATCCACCAGCCACTCCAAAAGCTGGCGTTGATCAAACATTGATTAAACCCTCCCTAAATCCTCCTSATCCCAGCAGGGATCACTGCCTGGAATGGCAGATTTACCAGGGCAGAGTGAATAAGGGGAGACCCCCARGTACCAACATCTCACAGCTCCCAGCACAACCAGTGGAGGGTTCCATTGGGAGGGATTTTAACTCACGCTGGACGAATCCACATTTAAGCGATCTTTGGAGTGTTTATGAGTGTTATAACATATGTTATATGTAACACATCCCCAGTGATGGGCACGGCCGCCGGTGCCCGGGTGATCCCAGTGCAGCTCCTGGAGCAGCAGGAATGTGCCCACAGTCCAGGCAGRGATCAGCCCAGCCCTCCAGGGATGGGCCCTGCAGCCTTGAGCAACCTCCTGSCCTCGTGTTTGTGGTGGGTGATTAAGGAGTGGGGTGCACGGGGACTTTTCTCTCTCGCAAGCAGGGTAAAGAACGCCACGGCGGTTTATGGTGTTGTCACAAGGCACTGGGGATGGGAAGGAAATTTCCACTTGCCTGTCCCTGTGGCCACACCACAGACAAGGGTCAGGCATGAGAATCCCAGTCCAGGCACCTCTAAATGAGCCTCCATCAACCCATTTCTCCTCGCAAGAGCTTGTTTCCTACAGCCAAGAGGTCTTGGCATCAGCTTGTAGCAAACTCTGGGTTGTGGAGAGCGGGAGCTGGGTTTGCCTGGTCTTTGGGGCCCCCACAAACTCCCTGCATGGACCTGTGGAACAGGGAAATACCTGATTCAATCCCATCAGCTCTTCCTGGAGCCAGCTTCCGACAGGTCCACGGAATCCATCTGTCACCACAGCTCCCAGCATGACCAGCCGAGCGCTCTTTTGGGAAGAATTTTAACTTGGGCAGAAGGAATCCAGATTTCATTTATTTTTGGGGTACTTATTATGAGAGATTAATGTAACACATATCCAGATTTCAGCTGGTCCTTCCTCCCAGCAGCTCCCACGGCGCCGCACAGGCGCTGACAGGAGCTGAGCTGTCCCAGATCCCAGATCCCCAGCGGCACCAGCAGCATGGGCACATCCCAAGAGCACCAGGACACCCCCTTGGCCAGGGAAAAGGGAGCCAAGTGGCCGAGCCAGGCGCTGCTGGCACATGGCTGGCACAGGAGTGCTGCCAAGGGCGGTGCCATCGTGTCCACGCTCTGTCTCCCAACATTGGTGGCTTCAGAGCACAGCAAGGTCACAGCCCAAACTCAAGGATTAACCCCATGTCCTTGGCTTTTAAACATTTACCACCCTGGAGGGAGTGGGGATGTTTGCCTGAGCCTTGCAGAGGAAATGCTCCACATTCAGGCAACAAAGGAATTAATTATTACTGAGCRAAGGCCTGAGATAGGACACAACAAAGCACAGTCTGGAGGGAAGGGTTTCCCCTTGGTGGGAGCTTCAGCCTCACCTCAGCTCCTGCCTGGTGTTCAGAGAAGCCATGGACACCCCAAGACAAGAGCCCTGCTCTGAGCAGCCTCTGCCCCTCAYGGAGGAGATGAAATCCTTGGCACCAAGGTTTGCTCAGTAAGATACACGGAAACTGTGCCCGTGGGAAAAGGCGTGGGGATGAGAACAGATAAATCTGTTCATATCAGCAGACACTTATTTTTGTCCTTGTTTGGGCTTGCACCGATTTGTTAAATAAGTGACAATAGCAACTGTGTCAATTAGAACAGGAAGTGGTGGCACCAAACAAGCCACAGATTCCAAAACTCCTTTTTTTAGGAATCACCAAGAACATTTCCTGCATCCATCTACCCGGGCAGGAAAGACAGAATATCCCTATTTTACCCACCCTGTGTTTCATTCTGTTTCTCCTCATTTCATTGTGCAGATCTGCCACCTTTCATTTTCTTCTCCATACAAACCAAAGCACCCAAATGAGGGTTGGTATAGAAGARCAGATTTGAGGGTTGGGTGATCTTTAAGGTCCCTTCCAWCCMAAACCATTCTGGATTYTAAACCCAAACCACCAAACTCMAAAAAACACTTSAGCAGATGCTAAAGAACATCATCAAGTACTGTTAACACTCAGYCACAGAACTCCAGACTGGTTTGGGTTGGAAGTGGCCTTAAAGCCATCTGTGCCAGGGCCTCACCACCCTCACAGGGAAGAATCTCTTCCTAAAATCTAACCTAAACCTCTCTCTGTCAGTCTGAAACCATTCCCYTTTGTCCTGTCACTCCATGCTCTTGTAATGCTTCAAGTGCCCTCTGTGAATCAACACTGGTACATTTTAAACACCAGAATTCTGACTGGATACCTGCAAAAAAAAGTTATCACAAAATATTCTGGTGCTGCACAACGTGATGCYGCAAGGAAAGACCCTGGCAAATCCAGCACCGGGATCAGCTCTTCTGAAGAGCCATAAAGAAGCAAAGCAGCTCCTCTGACACTGCCTTATCTTCCCACATTTATCTYGGAGACTGAGAGCCCCAGGATTACACAACTGGGGCTGAAAGAGAACTTGCAGAATGGCTCGGAGCTCGTAGCTGTGSCACAGGTGGGGCGACCTCTGCCCCTTCACAGAGCCCACGTTGTGTAAGAGTTTCCCTCCCGAYCGCTGCCCCGCTGCCTCGGTGAGGATGGAAATTTCCAGGGATCCCTAACGCGGACTGAGAGGTGTCTGCTGGAAAAGAGGGATGGATTTGGTCAGTTCTGCATGCACAGATGGGTGTTTGAGGGGGGAAAGAACCGTTTGAAGCCATTTAGACCTTAATTCGGGTATTTCACATTCTTAATTCTGATATTTAGCATGAAAACCCACTGAGCTTCCACAGAAGGGATGGATGCTCCTGGTCCTACCCACCCCTGCACATCTTCCCTGCAATGACCTGGCCCCTGGTGCCCATGACTGTCCTGCCATCCTCAATATCCACATTTTCCTGTGCCCCAGCAGCCCAGAGACCTGAAAAATTGTGTAAACTCGAAATGGGGAGCTGGCAACTCTGCAGAGGGGCTGAAATACTGTGCACTGTGCCAACCTCTGCTTTTGATTCASTTCCTAAGGCTGGGCAAGCCCTCTCAGGAACTAAATAATTCAATTTCCTGGAAGGGAACTTCTTTTATCCATATTTTAAGAGTGAGCAGGCAATGGTCAGGGATGGGTGATGTGGCTGGAACACAAATGAAGGGAAGAACCATCACCCTCAGCAAGGATCAGCAGGCAGCAGTGAGCACGGACAGCCAGCAGGATTTTCTGGCCTACAGTGGAACAGTGACAGGCAGAACACAGGCAGGGATCACTGAAACTGCCTCGCTTTGCCATGGAAACAGGACCTGAGCAGAGCATCCCATCCCTGGGGGAGCAGAGAGGGCTGAGAGCAYCCCAGGACAGCCCCAGACACATCCCTGGCCATGGCACTGAACACGGCCCCACTGCCACACACACACAGCTTTTACACCCTGCAGGGATGGGCACTCCAGCCCTGCCCTGGGCAGCTGTGCCAGGCATGGACAGTCCTTTCCTGGAAGAAATTTTCCCCAATATCCCAACGAATCAACACAGCAAGGTACAACAGCACAGGCTGTTAGGAGACATTGAGGAGAACTCAAATCTCCTGCTGTTACTACATCCACAGGTGTAGAAGTGGCATTCAGTAGGAAAGAGGAAACTTTCCTAATTAAGTACTTTTTAGCTTAAATGAGGGGTTTTTTTCCCTCCTTCAAACAAACCATGCAGAGGAGGCCACGGGGATGCGCTGAGGGCTGGAGCCCCTCTGCTCTGGAGCCAGGCTGGGAGAGCTGAGGGTGCTCACCTGGAGAAGAGAAAGCTCCAGAGARACCTCAGAGCCCCTGGCAGGACCTAAAGAGAGGGAGAGCAACTTTTTACGCAGGCAGACAGTGACAGGACAACAGGGAACRGTTTTAAACTGAAAGAGGAGAGATTCAGGTAAGATGTCAGGCAGGAATTCTTCCCTGGGAGGGAGAGCCAGAGACCCAGGGGCAGATCCAGAAGCCCTGGCCAACACTAGGGTCACACATCGAAACAGTAGGCAGAAGTCACCTGTTCTGCCTGGAAAACCCTCCAGAGGCAGCAGCTTCCCAGGAAGGCAGCTCCAGCAGCAGCCTCCACATCCAAACCCTCCCTGGAGAGGGGTGCAAGATTCATTTCTCTATTTCAGTCAGCACAACCCTGAGCTCTGGGCTGCCCACCCCCATTCTCCCAGGGATCCTGGTTCCTTTGATCCTGCTGTAACCCTGGAGCACAAGGTGACC